ACACGCAGCTGCGATATCCTGAACCTTGCCACGGTCTCGAGCAGCCGCAGCACCAGCCTCAAACGCGGGACGCCCAACAGCAGCCGCGAGACGCCCGGCGCCCAACACGAGACGTTGGTACGCAGACCACCTTCGACCAGCCGCGATTCTATGCGGAAAGCCGGAGCGCTTACGAACAGCCACAACACTACGTGGAAAGCCGGAGCCCGTCCCACCAGCCGCAGTACTACGTGGAAAACTGGAGCCCGTACCAGCAGCCGCGGTACTACGTGGAGAGTCAAGGCGGGAACCACCGGCCGCGATACGAGTTCATTCCTGTGCAGAGAGACCACGAGCAGCGGCAGGAATACATTGAAAGGCGGGAGACTTATCAGCAGCCGCCACAATACATTGAAAGACTGGAGGGTTATGAGCAGCTGCCACGGTACATTGAGAGACGGGACCCTTATGAGCAGCCTCGTCGCTACGTTGAGAGACGGGAGATTTATGAGCAGCCGCCACAGTACATTCAAAAGTGGGACGTACATGAGCAGCCTAGGCGTGGATACATTGAAAGTCGGAACGTCTTTGGGCAACCAGGTGGGTATGTCGAGCACCGGGCTGCCTCCATGCGGCCGGGCGATTCCATTCAAAGGCGAGAGGAACAAGGAAAAAGGAAGAGGGAGAAGGAAGACGAATTGGATTCCGACGGGAGGTCCAAGAGAACAAAGGAGGAGAAGTGATTTGATTCTGACGAGAAGTCCATGGGGGGCAAAGGAGAAGAAGCTCTTGTGATGGAATACATTCAAAGAGCAGTGAATCACGAAGTGGATTCTGACATGAAGTCGAAGAGAGGAAAGAAAGACAAGCAATTGGAGTCCAATGAGAAGTCCAAGAGAGCAAAGGGGAAGAATTTCTTGTGTGGTGGAATACATTCAGAGAGAGAGAGATAGAGAGAGAGAGAGAGTATCAAGGAAAAAGGAAGAGGGAAGAGGATGAAGTAAAGTCTAACGAGAAGTCCACGGAAGCGAAGAAGGATAAGCAATTGGATTCCAACGAGAAGTCCAAGATCGTAAAAAGGAGAAGTTCTTTGATGATGACGGAATGAATCTTGACAGACCAGTGGCTCAATGACCTGATCCTGCCTTTGCACTGTTTGATTGTGATATTCGAGGAGATGGGCGGAGGTTGGAGGTCGGAGGGCTGCTGCTTGGGCGTTGAACTCTTCGTAGATGCTGGCAGGTTTTGACGAGGCGGCTGTTTTTCCTGAACGCGAGGAGAGAAGAGAGGGCAAGGAATCCGGACCGAATCGGAACCACGGGAACGGTAAAGAGTCAAGGAGGTCCAGGAATCGCGCCAAAACATGCGAGGGAGGAAGGAAACACTCGAACGAGGACTGGTAGTGTATGCTGACCGACGGGAAAACAGACATTCACGAACGTCTTCGACACATTTCAATCATCGTATGAGGTTGGAAGCAACTGGTTCACGATTCAAAAGCAAGTCAATTCAATAGTCATGCGTCTAGGATTGCAGTTCTGTCTGAGGTACCGACTACGAGTTTCATCTTACAGGTCTTTCCGATGGGTCTTCAAAGGTAGGTCATAGCAGAGGCTGGGGAAAGGGAGCTTCGCCAGAGGGCGAGAGATAGCGTCAGCCAGTGGGCAACGAAAGAAAGCACTGCAAGAATGCAGAGAAAAGCGGAAGTGGCCAGCGGAGGCTGAGGCACCGCGAAGCGAAGGGTGTTGCAGAAGGCAACAAAAACAAAGCTCTGCAAGGATGCCGAGAGCGGCGGAAGTGGCCGGCAGAGGCTCAGGCACAGGATCTTCGCCGCAAAGCGAAGGGCGTTGCAGGGTTGCAGAAGGCAACAAAAAGAAAGCCCGACAAGTAGGCAGAGGAGAGCCGAAGGGCCAGCAGAAGCTGAGAAAAGAAATTTCGCCAGAGGGTGAAGGAAATTGTGGGCAGTGAAGAGAAGATTCGGCAAGTATGCCGACTGCCGAAGAAAGCAAGATTGGCCAGCCAGAGGGCTGAAAAAGGGAACTCTTGACCAGTGAGCAGAGGTACGACTGTACGAGGCTGTCAGTCAGCAAGTGACGAAAAGAAAAGCCCCGATGGGCAAAGGCATGCATGAGGTTTACTCGTCAAGGAGGGACAAAATGTATTCATCCTCCTCCCGCTCAAGCCGCCGAATTTCCTCAGCCCGACGTTCCTCAGCAGCAGCATCGTACGGCGGCGGCAGTAGATGTTGAATTTGCTGCTGCATTCGCTCCGTTTGCTGCATGGTCCGCTCTTCACTGCGCTGCAGTTGTAGCCGCAGGTCATGTTGAGTTTGCTGCAAGTAGAGGATGCACTGCCTGAACCGGAAGTTGTTCGAGTCAGCAGCTCTGTGGCTTTTGCGGACATCTTCGGCCAACTGTTTGTTGCGGAGACTTAGCGCTTTCAGACGTCCTTTCATGCTCTCTACCACATCTTCAACTTCTTCGAGTCGGGCAAACACGTCGGCAGGGGCTGACGGGGCAGCAGGATTACCCTCGCGGCGTTGAATCGGGTCTTGCCGTCCAGAAGGACGACCCGGGGTCTGGGTGTCGCAGTCGCGACGAGCAGTGCCTTTGCGCTCGTGGTGCTTGTACCAACACTTATCCTTTTGCTCTGGACAGTGTTGGCCGAAGTGGTCATCTCGGCCACAGATGAAGCAGGGACGACGGCACTGGTACCAGGTTCGACCGTGTACTTCGTTCCCACAGCGGAGGCATAGGCCCGTCATACACCTAATGAAATTAGAATAGCCTGGATAGTGGTACTGAGCGACACTTACTGGCCTTTCGTCCAGCGAGGACGCTCGAGATAGTGGCCTCTCGGCAGAGCTTGGCCGTAGTCGTCCAATGGTGGCTGGCCGTCACCACCATCGGTTTCTGCCTTGAAAGGCATGTCTGGGGCTCTGTGAGCGTACATCGCCATTTGGGCGATGGAGGAGGGAGAGGAGGGACAGTAGCAAGGGTGTGCTTGTATTGTGTGGCTCCTGTGGAAATGGTGTGGAGTGTGTTGTGGAGAGGAGAAAGAATTGGAAAATGCAAAACACCAGAGGGCGGGGCCGGATCAACCAAACGCCGGAGGGTGGTGATATGGTAAGGTATGTAGAGGAAGGCCATGTCAGAAGCGAACCGGCAGCTGCTGACATTGTGGGAAGGAGCAAGCACAATGCAAATTTCCCAAAAAAAAAAAAAAAAGGTCAACAGTGCATTGGATATCAACAACAGGAAAGCTACAAACAACAGCCGAACCAATCACCAACCGAGCTGACTCTAATAATTCGAAGACTTCAAGAAGATCATGAGAATGCGAGGGCGGAAGAGAATTTTCCAGTGGTAGGATTGATAAATCAGACAAACGTTGGAAGACAGTACAATGATGCTTTACCAATAGCTTTTCACCTTTTTGATTGAGCAACGTGTTTCTTTCTTTTGAACCAAGACGTGTGTACACAGGGAACATTCGGACGCCTTGAAGCCCAAAGACTTGGACACTCGAGCCTTTAGAAGTACAGTTACAGGGAGCAGTCGTTCTGCGTGTTAGAGGTCGGCGTCGTATTCCTGGAAGCGCGCGACGCGACCAACCCAAACAAGAGAGGAGGCCAAGCACGCAGGTCCAGTCCAGGAGCTCTTGAGCCGCCAAGTGTAATGACCGGAAACTGGGCGTTTCTCTCCTTTGCAGACCCGCGTAATCTTCTTCGTTGTTGACGCCGTGCCCCTGCACCGCTCCAGCCGACAAATGCTAGTGCTCAAGTCGCCTGCTCGAACCAACTCGCATTTTCACTGATGTGGGATGATGATTGTTCCAGGCCCATTGTGGGGAGCTCGCCGCGTCGTCGGGAGAAGAGCTTCGTGATCTGTTCGTTTCGCGTGGACCAAGGGGCAAGCCGAGCTGTCAACAGCCGTTGGCGGAGCAACACGAGCGGCTCGACAGTCCACAGGGGTGATGCAACTCAAAATCAACGTCTCGTCATACTCGGCCACTCGAGTGGTCCATCTTTATTTGCAGAATCAGCCTTCCCGCCCGTGGGATAGAGTAGGCTATCCTCTCATGCTCATACATGTGCAACCGTGTCTCAGCTGGGCCTGTAGAGGCGTCGCAAAAGTCGCCCGAGCCTGCGGAGATGATTGCTTTGCCAACCCAGCCGCATTTGTCCCCAGGATTTGTTTACAAGACCCTCCTTCCCTCTACCTGCTTCTTTCTATTTACTTCGCCTGGAGGTTGATGCGAGGGGCGTTGGTTGAGGTTGAAATGGAGGAGGAAAAGCGTGGATCGCATTGCACAGCCGACTACCGCCAGGGTGTTTTTACGGATTGTCGCGGGAACGTTTTCTCTTTTGGAAGACAAGAATGGTATGTGCCTCTATCCTGTCAGCAGTTGAAGAATTTTATTTATCAAGGGGAGCCAGACATCGGTGATTGTCGCATTGTGTGCGAGTGACGAATTCAATTGGGCACCCTCAGTAGGGGAGAATGTAGGAACGGAGTCGGTTCTACAACCCTAGAAGTCGGTCAGTCGAGAATCGGTCAAGCGCAAAGAATGTCGAAAGATTATTCGTGCAGTCGAAGAGTAGAGGCTGGCAGTAGCGAGACGGCGACAAAGCCTGGCCAGAAGGTACTCGTTGCTCGTAGAGAAGCTTGCTGGCTGTGAGAATCGTTGCGGCTTGCAAAGGCAAACAGCCTGGAATTCATTAGCGTGGTAGGTGCTGGAGATTCGGCGGAGTGAGTACCTTTGCTCGTTGGGCTGTAGAAGGACCTGGATGTAATGGCTGGCGGCCTGCGTTGATGCACTTGAGCTGGGCCTTGCCATCATCTTCCAATTGCGCTCAGCGCGTGGGTATAGGGAGCCTTCGTGGTGCTCACTTTGTTGGCAAAAGCTGTGGCACGCATCTGCAAGTGAGGTGATGCTGATGATAAGAGTGGTCTGAAGTTGAGCGATGAGCAAAAGGGAAGGAGGAAAAAGAAAGCAAGACTGAAAAAGGCAAAAAAGAATTCCGTCGCTGAGAATCGAACTCAGGTCTCTGGACTGTTGCGACCCTCCGAAACGCGAGCCGCAGGTTGCGCGTGGGTCTCGCCCTCTGGCTTACCCCCTACGACTCAATCGGCAGTAATGCGTCCAGCGTGCTAAACCACTGCACCACGACAGATTTTTGATGAAAGTGTTTCTGCGAAATCAAAATATCAAGTCGCACCTGAGCCTGTACATGGCAGTCACCCCCAGCCCAAGCCCCACAACACCGACTTCGCGTCTGCCGCCGCCGAGGAGCTGGCGCAGTCTTCAGCCCATGTGCACAGGGAGCATTCAAACACCTCGTCACTCAAAGACTTGGACATTTCAGCCTGCAGAAGGATGACCATAAGGAGCATTCAAGCACATCCCGACCTTCGATTTGGCAGCTGCACCAGACTCGGCCAAAGACAATGCGTACATCCTCCTCGCAAAAGGTACGCAGCGCCTCCAAAAGCAAACCCAAACCACCCAGAACCTCACCTCCACATCAGGAACGACCGGTCATTCCAATTGCCAAACTCGTTCCATCCGCCGCCGAACAGAAACTCCTCCGTATCCTTCATCCGCTCGCTCTCCCTCTCCTCCGCAAAGACCGAGACGTACGAATCGCACGACTCCCGGCGCTCCTCCTCCTCCTCCTCCTCCATCGCCAAACCCGTCTCCCTGACAAGCACCGCGTAGCTATCCGGCGGGATGTCCAAGCCAAGGCGATGGGGGTCGACGTCGTCGTCGTAGTCGTCGTCGCCACACACGCCGCGGCCACTGCAGTCATACGCGACGGCGTCGTCGTCATATTCGGCGGCACTGCGCTGCACCACCCCGGCGGTCTCATACTCGCCCTCCAGAAGACGGCGCAGACGCGAGCGCTCCCTGCGACGGCGGCAAAACGCACAGCACCTGCGGCGGAAGGCGGCGAAGCGCTGGCGCACGACGGCGCAAAATTCTCTCCGCCTGGAGGCGGGCGGTGCCGGGCGGCCCATGGAGTAGTTGCCAAAGAGGGCGGTTTGCGAGGCAACAATCTCGCGTTCGGAGGATGGCGCGGCCGTCGGGCGTGAGTAGATGGACGAGGGGGCGGGGAAGGAAATGTCCCGCGGCCGCTGCGAGTAGATTGAGGAGCGGAAGTGGCGCCTCTGGTTGTCGTCGTCTTCTTCGTCGTCGTCCTGGGCTGGGAAGATTGCCCCGCGGCGGGGGCGAGAGTGAGCCGTGGGACTGATGTCCGATTCGTGAGAGTTTGGTGTTGAGCCCGGGGATGGCCTGTGTCGGGGGATCTGGACCGGGGAGGAGGACGGAGAGACCGTGTCGCTGTGGAGGGACTCGATGGCCTTTTTGGTCTTGAAGATTGAAAAGATTCCACAAGGCATGGTTGTGAATTTCGTGGCGTTTTGAAGTGAATGGTGGAGTGGAAGACTTGAGGAAGGGGATGGACAGAGGAATGGAAAGACGGAAGACGCGTCTTATACTCGGAAAAGCAGTATTGTGATCTCAAAATTGGCATGTTGGGGCAACTCAACATTGTGGTTTGGACTGATGGATGGTGGTAAGTTTGGTAGCGAGTGATCTCGTTCGACTGCAACCACGACTACCTTTCTGGATTGGCGTTGAAAATCGTCCCAGTATAACCACGGAATGGAAACAGATCCCGACTCAGAATCCATTTCGACCTAACTCAGCGTCGCCGACCGGCACCACCACCCTCGCCGCGTTCCGCCAGACTGACAACCTCCTGAATGCCCGCCTGTTCCTGCTCGTCCTCCAGCGCGCGAATCTCCTCGCGGCAATCCCACCACTTTTCCTCGGCGCGCTCAAACGCCATGGTCTTGATTTCCTTGGGCGCCCTCGCCTCGCCTCCGTACGTCCGTGCCAGCACGTCCATGACGACACGCTGCCAGTCGAGCGACGTGCGGGCGTAGAAATCACTGCGCGACTCGAATGGACGCGGGTGTGGTAGACCGTCCTCGGCCAGTGCAGAAGACGACGCGTGTTTCTCGGTTGCGGTGGCGTCGTCTTCGGCAGCAGTGGTGGATGGCGCTTGGGATACGGATGTTGCGGCCGTGCTTGCGGCATCGTCTTCGTCTTCACTGCCAGACTCTTCTTCGTCGTCCTCGTCTTCATCTTCGCTGTCCTCGTCTTCGCTGCCCTGCCAGTCTTCGGGCTCGCGACGAAAGATTTCTTTGACGCCGTCGAGCTTGCCCAGGTCGATTGCCCACATTTCGTCAAATGTAAACTCGCGGTCGCCCTTTTCAAACGTGCCGCCGTATATGTAGAGCACATCATCTTGCACGGCAAGCTGAGCGTTGAAGCGCGTGTGGGGCATTTCGTAAATGACGGCCTTTTCAGGGGGGCGGTCCGACTTTTCATCGTCTTCGGGCGTGGAAGAGCCCAGTTTGGCGGCCAAAGCTGCATCCTCTTCATCATCATCACCCAGCTTGCCTTTTGTTTCCAGCGCAGCCAGATTCCTCAAGAGTTCCTCTTCATCTGCCTTGCCGCGTCCTCTTCTACCACCGCGCTCGGCATTCGCAGGCTTCTTGTTTTGCGCCCTCGGTTTGCGGAGGGCCAGAGGGAAGAAGCGGTTGCGTTCGACGTTCCACGCAAACAAAGTGTTGAAAAATTCCGAGTCCATGCCCTCCTCGCTCTCCTCGACATCGTGCACGCCGCCAAACTGAATGCCGCGGCCTTTGTGGTACGCCATGGTAGCCCCAGCTCGAGGAGGATTGGGCGGGTTGGCAGGCCGTTTGCGACGCTCCCAATGCACCTTGGGCAGACTGTCTGCTGGTGCGTCTGATCCGGGCGGCACGATGCGAAGGAACCACGTATCTTGATGCACCATTGGCTTCATTACATTCCGCGAAGCAGGACCCTTGCCGCCTTTGCCTCCAGCAGTGACCTTGACACGCGAGTAGCCGCTGAAAAGGACTGCGCCCGTGTCGTGAGGGAGAAATGTAAAGCTCGATCTAGCGTCGGGTTTCTGAGCAGTCAGGGGCAGCTTCGGCTCATGCCATTTGAAATTGGCCGTATCATAGATCCAAACATCGTTGAGGTACTTTGTCTGCTGACTCGTGTCTTGGAAACCGCCAAAGAGGATAATGTACTGCTTGAAGTACGTCATGCGGTGGCCGCTACGCGCAGGCGGGCCTTTGCCTTTGGATTCAAGACGCATCCACTCGCGACTGCCGGGGTCGAGCCGCCAAAAGTCGTTGTAATGGTAGAATGTGCCCTGTTTCGGGCTGCTGAATTCGCCGCCAAACAGGTAGACGCCGCGGTCATTGCCGCCACGGGTCCAAGCATGTCCGGAGCGTGGGAGAGGAGAGTTTGGCGACGTCACCTTCCGCCACTCGTCGCGGTTGATGTTGTAGACAAAGAGGTCGTTGAAGAATTTGGCCAGGGCTCCGTTGAAGTACTCGCCGCCGAAAAGAAACAATTCATTGTCGTTTGCCGGCGACCCAAGCAGTGTTGAAGAGCCTCGCGGTGAGGGAGGATCGCTGACCACTTCGGTGATTTTGAGGAATTGCTCTTGCTGCTTGGCGTACTCTGCTAGAACCGCATCGATATCGACATCGTCGGCGTCGCTGTCGTTTCCGTCCTTGGGCCGTTTTGCCTGCTTCTTTTCTTTTTGTTTGGCCTTTTTGTCCGTCTTTTGTGCCACGCGCTCTTTCTTGGCCGCTGCCTTGGCCTTTTTGTCCTTTTTGTCTTTTGCCATTTAGGAGAATCAAATGGGCTGATGAAATGCTGCCCAACCGAGTCGAAGATGGAAAAGGACCAATTTGGGCCACAGTCTACCCACCAGATGCAGTCTATGCAATTCGAAAGGAGATGACAGATTGAAGATTCCTGTATGGTGTTGACGTCCAAGTCAGGTGACGAGACACCAAAAAATCAGAGCTGATCCGCTCGGCTAAAGTCTTGGCGATGCAGGGTAGGCGCTAGCGGCGGGGCGGACCAGGGACCCCACTCCCGTCCCTGATCCGCAACCATGACATAGTCAACAACATCTCGTGTCTCCTCGACCTGCTTTCTCTCAATCTGACGCCAAAATGATTTCTGCCGCCAAAATCATTGAGCAGCGCTCTCACATGGTCCCTGGTAATATCCATTCAACCCCGCGCTTCCACTGCTAACCCCAACAGGCAAGATCAAAATCACAGAGTACTTCTTCGAGGTACCCACGCACTGGCACAAGGCGGACTCGCGGCCACTCCGGCTGTTTGCACGCTCAGCGCGCAAGGCGGAGAAGCCGGCCGAGCCAGCATCCGGCGAGGACGAGGCCAAGAAGCAGCAGACGCCGTGGATGCTGTTCCTGCAGGGCGGGCCGGGGTTCGGGTGCCGGTCGCCGCACGAGATGGCGTGGGCGCACCAGGTGCTGGACCGCGGGTACCAGCTGCTGTGCCTGGACCAGCGCGGGACGGGGCTCAGCAGCGCCGTGTCGGCCAGCACGCTGGGGTTGCGAGGCGACGACGAGACGCAAGCCAACTACCTCAAGAGCTTCAGGGCCGACTCCATCGTCCGCGACTGCGAGGCGGTGCGGCTGGCGTTGACCCACGACTGGCCCGAGGAGAAGCGCCAGTGGAGTGTGGCCGGGCAGAGCTTTGGCGGCTTCTGCATCACGACGTATCTGAGCATGTTCCCGGCGGGTTTGAGGGAAGCCTTCTTCTTCGGCGGGCTGCCGCCGCTCGTCAAGAACCCGGACGAGGTGTACCAGCGCGCCTTCAAAAAGGTGACGCAGCGCAACGAAGCCTACTACCAAAAGTACCCCGAAGACGTGGCGCGCGTCAAGCAAATCGTCAGCCTGCTGCAGCGCTTCGGCGACAGCACCGTCCGCCTCTCGGGAGAAGGCTCCCTCTCGGCGCGCCGCTTCCTGCAGCTCGGCATCAACTTTGGCTTCCACGGGGGCATCGACGCCGTCCACGAGCTGGTGCTGCGCGCGTCCAACGACCTCGACGTGTTTGGCCATCTGACGCGCCCGACGCGGTCTGCGATTGAAGCCGCCTTCCCCTTTGACGACCACATCATCTACGCCATCCTCCACGAGCCCATCTACTGCCAGGGGCAACCGGCCAACTGGTCCGCGGACCGGATCCGCGCGACGCTGCCCGAGTACCACACGGACCCGGCGCAGGACTCGCCGCTGCTGTTCACGGG